TCCCCGAGGCCGGGGACAATGGCGAGCTGGCCGCGAGGGGACGGCGCGGGTGGCGCGGGGCGGAAGCGGTCTGGGCGGGGCCCCGGCGCGCTCTCCGGAGGGGGCGTTGCCGCTGCGTCGCCGCCTGCGTCACCGTTACGTCACTGGCTCCGCCCACGGCCACGCCCCCCGACGCCCGGGACCCGGGACGCGCGCGCCGCGCCCTGGAGACGCGCACGGGACTCCGCGCTGCGCTGCGCTCCGCCAGGTGGGGGACGCGGGGACCTCATCCGTCTCCTGGGGTCACCCGAGGCCACCACGCGGGGGACGCGGGGACCTCATCCGTCTCCTGGGGTCACCCGAGGCCACCACGCGGGGGACGCGGGGACCTCATCTGTCTACTGGGGTCACCCGAGGCCACCACGCGGGGGACACGGGGACCTCATCTGTCTACTGGGGTCACCCGAGGCCACCACGCGGGGGACGCGGGGACCTCATCTGTCTACTGGGGTCACCCGAGGCCACCACGCAGGGGACGCGGGGACCTCATCTGTCTCGGGTCACCCAAGGCCACCACGCAGGGGACACGGGGACCTCATCCGTCTCCTGGGGTCACCCGAGGCCACCACGCAGGCGCACCTCATCTGTCTCGAGTCACCCAAGGCCACCACGCAGGGGACACGGGGACCTCATCCGTCTCCTGGGGTCACCCGAGGCCACCACGCAGGGGACGCGGGGACCTCATCTGTCTCGAGTCACCCAAGGCCACCACGCAGGGGACTCGGGGACCTCATCTGTCTACTGGGGTCACCCGAGGCCACCACGCAGGGGACACGGGGACCTCATCTGTCTCGTGGGGTCACCCAAGGCCACCACGCAAGGGACACACGGGACTCCAATGCCACATGGGGCCACCTAGGGGCGGGGCCATCTGGGACTTGGGACGCAACCAGAAGTGGGGGTGCTCTGGGGACCCCATCTGCAACTTGCGGTGCAACCCGGAAGTGGGAGCCACTCTAGGGACCTCCTCTGGGGCTTGGAATGCAACCCTGAAATGGGGACTGCTCTGGGGACCCCCATCTGGGACTTGGGACGCAATCCAGGAGTGGGGGCAGCTGTGGGGACACAGGGGACCCGCTCTCTGCCAGTTGGGGTGCAACCCAGAAGTGAGAGCCACTCTGGGACCCCCATCTGCCACTTGGGGCGCCATCCAGGGGTGGGGACGCTCTGGGGACCCCCATTTGTGACTTGGGGTGCAACCCTGGAGTGGGGGTCACTGAGGACCCCTTTCTGAGACCCGGGGTGCCCCTGGGGTGGAGTCCCCCCCAACCTGCACCAGGGACGCGCTCTCTGTCCCCTTGGGTCACTGCCCGCGCCCAGGCCCAGGCTGGGGACAGGGAGGCCGGGGTTGAGAACCCAGGAAAATTACAACAGAAAAGTGCCAATGGGGTTTGGTGCTGGCAGGAATTAGGGTCCAAGCCCTGTGAGCCCCAAGGATTCCTGCAAGGCCACCGGGGGACAGAGAATGCAAAGCTAGGACTTCCTGGGTTTGCCTTGGGGACAGGTTTGGGGCGAGGACCTCCCCGTGTGGTTTCCCTGCAGCTTCCTGTGAAGCTAAAATTATTTCAAAGCAAACCTTTTTTTAAAAAAAGAGACAGAGAGAGAGAAATTGAAGCCGTGGAACATGCAAATGTCACCCACGAGGCTGGATTTGTCCCTGCTTCGTCACGGGAGGGAGGACCGCGCGTGGACGCGCACGCCCAGCAAATGCAGGTGCACCGTGGTCACCGGTGTCTGTCTGTCCCCCTATAAAATGCATCCCGAGCAATATTGGCACGGACCTTACTTAGAGGACCTCTGATTTCTGTGCAATGCAAATGCAAGTGGAGCCTGGAGTCCCAGCCACTGACTTAAAAGTGACGAGGTCACCCCAGTTCCACCAAAACAAAACCATGAAAAAAGTGACAAGGCACAGGGCGAGGGGAGGGGATGCCACCCCAACCCCAGGCCAGGCGGTGGCCTGCAAAGCGCTGAAGAAATCCCTGTGTCCCTTTTCCAGAACCTGGGGCCTGTTTTGCAGAGGCCAGAGGCCACCTCTAAGTCCTGCACTGCAAAGGGGACATGGCCTTGTCACCCAGGAGCCGCCCATGGGGACGCAGGGTGACAGGAAGTCTCCACCCGGCTGTGGGTGGCTTTGGGGCCTCGCCCAGCCCCCACCTGCACGGGGTGAGTGGCATCGTCCACCGTCGCGGGCAGTGACACGGGCTGTCCCCTGTCTGCTGGGTCCTGAGCTGGACTGTCCGGAAGGCAGCCAGACAGGGAGGCCAGGCCTGGGATCTGGGATCTGGGATCTGGGAACCGTGCAGCAGACCTGAGGCCTGGCCTTGGACAAGTGGACTGAATGCGAGCAGATGGGGGTCCCCAGGGTGTCCGGTCACTGCAGGACACAGCTTTAGGGACCTGGCTGAGGGATCGGGGCGGAGGGAGAGGGGACAGTGACTGTCCCCCAGGCATGAGGTCTGACCTCTTGCAGATGCGTCTGCCCTTTCAGTGCAATGCTTGTTCCAGCTCAAAACACCTCATTTTGCACCCCACTAAGGAGAAGCGGGTTTTTGCCTGTGAATTGCACCCAAAAGAAGACCAAAGACCCCAGCTGTCTGTCGGTTCAGCTGAGCTTGGGGTTTTGCCCTGCTGGTTTTGGGGCGACCTCTCCCGCCCTGGGTGTGACTCCATACATAAGTAGCTCTTCCTATAAATACCATGGGGGGGGGTTGCGAAAGTCGGGGCTGCACAAAGCTGTTTTTATCTGGAAGGAGCCAAAGCAGGGTCTGAAAACCACAGCCCATTGTTTTACAGACAAAGGAGGAGCAAATCCCATAAGGTTGATTTTTTTGTGATGGGTTTTTTCCAGGTACAGCCTCCCAAACAATTTGCCCTGGGCTGGCTTTGAACCGCGATCCTCCTGATCTCTGCCTCCTGAGTAGCTGGGATTACAGGCAGGAGCACCGGCACCGGCTGTGCTCTGTCCCGTTTTCTGGGCTGAACCGAGAGGAAGCCATTTATGGGGCCGGGTGTTTCTGTCCATCCCTGGAAGACCATGTCTATGTCCCCTACACGGAGGGATTTGTGTCGGTTGACCTTCGGCCTTTTGTTTGTCTCCCCCTGTCACAGGCACCATGATGGCTCTGTTCTGGTGTCAGATTCCTGATAACATCGGAACTAGCTGTGTTGTAGGGTCACGCCTCCGCCCTGAGCTCTGTAGGATGTTGAAACTTTATCACAAAAGTCAAAACCTCAGCTTCTTCGCTGCGCCCAGGTTCAAGGCCAGGCTCGGCCGAGACAGGACCCCACAAACAGACACCCTGTTCACATCCCTCGCCCCGCAGGAAAACCCTACAAAGGCGAGTCTGTGTAGGGTCAGGATTGAAGCGAGGCTCTCTCCTGCGCGTGTGGAATCCTAAAACCTTGATGGGCATCTGCTCTCTGGTAGTCGGTCAACTAACCCTAGTCTCCTAGGTCAGGTGTGCAGGACTGATGCAGAACCGACGTCAACCCCAAATCCTTTAAGCTAGATTACTTGCAGTTCTTCGTGCACTGCGAATCCTGTGCAAATAGAGGGACCATTGGCCCCAAAAGGACCAACCTGGCAGGTCACGGAGCAAACTGTCATATTCACGTGGCAGAAACTGACTTCTATTCCGAACAATGATGTTTTTTAGGGCTTGGTTACAGGGTAATTAGCTGGCATAGGCCAGGTCCTGGGTTCGAGTGCAGACACTGGAAAAAATGGTGTGATCCTAGTGGCCCAGTAAGATGCAAGGTAATTTGATGAAGGAGGAATTAGAGATATATTGAATATGTCGTATTTAGGGTAAAGGGAAAATCTTCACAGATTGAAATTCTCTTCCACAGTCAATGCACACTTTTAAAAAACGAAGGACGGACAGGTGGCTGCAGCTCACGCCTGTAATCCCAGCTATCCAGGGGGCAGAGACCGGAAGGATGACGTTCAAAGCCAGCCCTGGGGGAGAAGAGTTCCCAAGATCCCATCTTGGAAAAACCCCAACACAAAACAGTGTTGGTGGAGGGGCTCAGGCCGCAGAGAGGCTGCCTAGGAAGCCTGAGGTCCTGAGTTCAAATCCCAGTATCACCAAGATACAAGAAAACATATACATATTAGATAGGTGGACGGTGGATGGATAAATAGGTGCTATACCGATTGACTGACTGACTGATGATTGATACAGATAAATAGGTGATCAATTAGACGATCGACAGATTGATAGATGAAAGGTGATAGATAAGATAAATGATAGATTGGTAGATGATAGACTGAGCTCACGGTCTGCCATAACTGTGTCGGTCGCCAAGCGCCAAGGTCACTTCAGGCTTTTTCTGGGACGTTCTCCTGACATTCTGCATTTCCCGTCACCACCCCCAGCTCCGTGTGAATCCATAAACTCAGCTGATGGAGGGAAGACGCCTCTGTAGATTTCATGGGGCAATTAGTCTAATCCCAGCGGACCTCGGAGTGCTGGGAGGTGACGCCACTCACGCCAGGAGTGACTTTCGTCTTGAGTTTCCCCGGACAGTCCTCATGGTGAGAGACCCCGAGAGCCACCCGAAATAAAGAGACCATTAAAAAAAAAATCATAAAAACAACAAAAACACCAGTCAGGAAATAACGGACTGATTTCGGATACAACGCCGCATCTGTGTGCAGGATACAAGTCAAGTGCGCTGTGTGATCTGGGTTTCAGTCAATGACTGTGTGTGATCTGGGTCTCAATCAATGATCGCGTGTGTGGGCTGAACCTGGGGTCCACCTGAGATTTGTGACTTTTCACCTGGCCATCTGTGTCATCTTTGTCAGAAATGTCGGATTTCTGGCACCCCAAGGTGGGTGGGGAGCAGACTTTTTGTTTTTCCCTAAAAACACAGGATAAGTCTCCATTTGGAGCATGTTCCTTGACTGACTAACTGTTTTTCATTTTCTAGCATTTTCTTTGCAGCCACATTTTTCTGGGTAAGCTCCACCATGCAATCAGAGCAGCCGGCCTGGGCAAAGGTCCAATGACCCCAAAAAGAGCATGACAGACCCGTCCTGCTGTACATGCCCTTGCAAAGGTGTGCAGGTGGATACCTACGCGGGGCTGAGCTCACGGTTTGCAGAATGACTTGCTGGGACACCGCCATAATCCTTTGAAGACATCCTTCGGTCGGCCATATCGCATACAAAGGAGGCTTCCGGCTGTCCTTTGGGGAGCAGGGCGAGGTCTCGTGATCTGGGATTTGCACCAGGCAAAGCTGAATGTGAAGATTACAAAATTGTGTCAGTCAACAAACGTCACACAACACACGAGAACAACAATTCAGGGCAGAGTTAATCAATCAGAAAGTGATTCCCCCCATATAGGCAAAAGACTGACTGACCCCAGTGCACCCTAAAACAGCCTGTGCCATCAGTCAATAGGACAAAGACACCCCGAACTTCTTCAGAAAGCAGGATTTCCTTAAGCTGAGCTATGAATTGATCCTGACAGAGACTGGTTGATGATCGACACTGAAAGTGGAATTTGAGATTTCTAAGGGGTCCCCAAGGGTGGGGCCCATTGATCTGAGCCCCGCAGATTTGGGCAAAGATTTAGGGGTGGATCCCAAAGAGCTGAGGTGACATCATTTTAGTGGTCACCATGAAGTCGTTTCAGCAGAGAGAGTTTGGAACAGAACCATGGAGGTCTGAGAGTCGTTCTGTGACCTCATGAAGGAACATAAAATATCCTGGATAAAAGTGAATTTCAGGCAGGGTGGACAGCAAGGTGTGGACCAAATTTTGAGACTCTGTCATATTTTAATGAAGTTGGTGGACAACAAAAGGGAATCGAGACCTGGAATATTACACACTCATGAACAAAAGTGGAAATTAGGCCTGGAATATTACGCACTCATGAACAAAAGGGGGGGGAAATGAGGCCTGGAATATTACGCAGCCACGAACATAAACAGAAAAGGAGACCTGGAATATTACGCAGTCATGAACAAAAGTGGAAATGAGGCCCGGAATATTACGCACTCGTGAACAAAAGGGAATCGAGACTTGGAATATTACACACTCGTGAACAAAAGTGGAAATGAGGCCTGGAATATTACGCACTCATGAACAAAAGGGGGAAAGGAGACTTTGAATATTACGCAGTCACGAACATAAACGGAAAAGGAGAATTGGAATATTACGCACTCACGAACAAAAGGGGACCGTGAGGCCTGGAATATCACGCACTCATGAACAAAAGGGATTCGAGACCTGGAATATTACGCAGCCACGAACATAAACGGAAAAGGAGACCTGGAATATTATGCACTCGTGAACAAAAGGGGGAAATGAGGCCTGGAATATTACGCACTCGTGAACAAAAGGGGAATGAGGCCTGGAATATTACGCAGTCACGAACATAAACGGAAAAGGAGAACTGTGGTGAGGCGGCGGCTGTGATCCGCTTTGAAAATGAGGCGGAAAATGCCAGTAAACAGCAGGGCGAAGGAAGGACCCAAGGACGCTCGGAGAATCTGAGGAAGCGCTCACAAGTGGCTCCGCGACGATGTCAAGTCTGAGCGAAGTCTGGCCCCCGCCCGCGCTTATCAACCAAGTTTTATTCGCACACAGCCAGCCGTGTGCTTTCTGGAAGAGACTGGGGACCAAGGTCAGGCCCTGGAGGCCAGGGTCAGGTCCTGGAGGCCAAGGTCAGGTCCTGGAGGCCAAGGTCAAGTCCTGGATGCTGGGTTCCAAGGTTATGTCCTGGAGGCCAAGGTCAAATCCTGGAGCCCAAGGTCAAGTCCTGGAGGTTGAAGGTCAAGTCCTGGAGGCCAAGGTCAAATCCTGGAGCCCAAGGTCAAGTCCTGGAGGTTGAAGGTCAAGTCCTGGAGCCCAAGGTCAAATCCTGGAGGTTGAAGGTCAAGTCCTGGAGCCCAAGGTCAAGTCCTGGAGGTTGAAGGTCAAGTCCTGGCGCCCAAGGTCAAGTCCTGGAGGCTGGAGCCCAAGGTCAAGGTGTGGTGGACGCCATGTTGGCGACAGCCGGCTTCTGGTGCACACATGGCTCCTTCCCGCCGTGTCCTCCATGGTGGGGGACAGGGAGCTCCCTGGGGTCTTTATGGACAGGGACACTGACCCCATCAGGGCTGCACCCCGTGACCCCGTCACCTCCCGACGGCACAGGAAATGAGGGCAAATTCGGTGACCTCCTGGACGCCCAGGACCGTCTCCCCAAAGCTGTGGCCTCTCTTTGCGGGACTTCCGCGAGGGAGGTGTGCGGGCTGAGGGAATCTGCCCTGTGACCCCGTCCCGATGGTCCGTCCACTCCGAGCTTCCTGTCCCCACTCCGTCCCTGTGGTCTTCAGAGCCACAGCGGGAATTAGGGGACCCGTGTAGAAATTCCCGTCCTTGCAGAGGGAGCCGCCAGGCCCTGGGGAATGGCAGGTGCCCGCACCACGGCGCCCATGGCTGAGACATTCCTGGACTCAGACAGGGGAGACATTTGCACAAAACCAAATGATCTGAGGACATTTCAGAGGACTTTCAGCAGTCATTCATCTATCATCTATCTAATAGTCAATCATCTATCATCTATCTATGCATGCTGTCGTCTGTATATCTATCATCTATCTATCAGTCAATCATCTGTCATCTATCTATCAGTCAGTCATCTATCATCTATCTATCAGTCAATCATATATCCTCGTTATTGGTGTGTAACGATGTCATTTATCTGAGTAGCTTTTCTCTGAGGACTCAAAACTTGACATTCCCCAAAAAGGAGTTCAGACACATAGTCGGTCGACACACACTCGACAAGGTGGCATTTTGAACAATTCCAGCAGGTTTAAAAATCCTGTATTCACTCTTGTATAGGACATGCATCACACATACTCACTTTATTAACTCCCTCTCTCCTGTGCCACCTCCCCTGGGTATCACCTGTTTGTCAGAACATTGCTGCATTTGTTTTGGGCCCATGTTCCACAAATGAGAGAAAACATGGTGGCCTTTGGCTTTCTGAGCCAGCTGCCTTCACCCAGTGTCCCATTTTCCGAGCCATTTTTCTTTCTAGGAGTCACTTTGCAAACACCTTGGGATCCAGGAAGGAGGAGACCGACTGGGTAATTGAGAGCTTTGCAGTGGGATCCCCGCCAAGGACGGGAACAATGCGGCCGCCATGGACAGACAGACTGACCACCTGGTCACCGGGCAGTGACCTACGAAGCTTGCGTTTGTTGATTGCAAAACGTTCCCTAATCCGGTGTGCATGGCTGGGAAGACGTGGCCTGAGTGGGGAGGTGGCTCTTTATTTTATTTTATTTTTCCCGTGAGCAAAGGAAAAGGGAAAATGTGCTTTTGCTTATCGTCTGTGGCTCTGAAAGGAACTCAGCCACATCCGAGCCCATGACAAAATGGAGCAGCACAGCTGTGCTCAGAAGGGATTCGGGGAAAGGTAACATTTTTTTTGTCAATCTATTATCTACTTGGACATTTTTAAGTTGAGTTGTTTTTTTTTTTTTTTTTTAATTAAGACCCGTTGCAGGGATTTGGGAAGTCTTGGGACGGTGGTGACGGTGGAGATGGTGCTGGTGATATTTCCTGCTTCCTGCCCTGTCATGGAGGCCACGCGTGTGGCTTTGGGGACCTGGAGGAGCCTGCGTTCACGTGAATGGCACCACCGCCACCTAGTGGCCGTGCCGGGAACAACACCGTTGGGTTCTTCAATTAACCAAAAAAAAAAAAAACCAAACGGCAGAAAACCTTGCCATCTCTGTCGCCATTTTGCACCTGTTGTCCTTGGCTCCCAGCCATTGACCCCTGCAGCCACCTTGGAATCAAGGACTGGTGGGTAATATTGAGGCAGGTTCATTGAGTGACTCATAGAAATGAAAAACAACTGCATCTCGGGTTGACCATGCTTTGGCTCAGGAACCAGGCTCACCCGGCTGGGGACCGCCCCGTGCCCCTCCCCGATTACTGATTATGGGGTGGGAATCTCCTTCTTGTCCCCTGAAACTCACCAGCTCCACCATTTGCACGGTGTGGTCTGTGGTCGGGGATGCCTTCGCCGAGCCGGAGGGCCGTCCTTTTTCAGGGCTGAGTTAGTCTTCCACTGTGCCAGTCAATAATCATCAGCGAGTGGGGAGAAACAGCAGGGGGTCCCCGGGTCAGGCGAGGGAGGTTTGAATGGACGGCTGAGAGACGGAGAAGAAATGCAAAGGTAAATGCAGTATTTTCGAAGAATCCCAGACTTCCCCTAAACCCAGCCTGGAGCCCTGGGCTGAGAACATAATTTACTGCGGCAGAAAAGTAGAGAGAGCAAAGATTTAGTAGGGTGCCATTGAAAAGGGGGTAAAAAGCAAGAGGCAGGTGGAGAAAGGCACATGGCACCTGTCTGTCACCTGCCCTGTGCCGCGACAAGGCACTGGGGTCAGCCGCGCACAGGATTTGCTTGGGGCTTTGCTGATCGGCCGCGGCTTTGCTGTGCGGCTCTGCTGATTGGCCGTTGCTTTGCTGCGCGCCGTGCTGATTGGCCGCTCTGCCTGTCGATCACGGTTTGACTGCCCAGGGCGGGAATACCGCCCACGTGGTCCCGCCTCCCTCTCTGCCCGGACTTTGGCCTTTTGCACTGCACCTGCAACGGGTCATTTCCTCCACTGGGGCCACAGGCCTCTGACACCTGTGGGTGTTGTGCAGGACAAGCTCCAGCGTGGAGTCCTTGTCACTGCAGTGTCGATGGCGCGAAGTGATTGTCAGGCCATTGCCTGGCTTTGCCAAGCAATTGCAGCGGGAGATGGAGACGCCGGGGATCCCAATATGGCAGGTCCGGCCACCGCCCCTAAAAGCCATATAAAGGGACATTAATGGTGAAGACGGAGAAAGGGGGTTTCTGGCACGGCTGGGGACAGGGGAAGAGGCAGAGCGGGCACCCAGCCATCTTTGGGGTGCAGGCGTGAGCTATGGGCTCACGTGGACAAAGAATGAGGGACAGGGGACCAAGTGGGTCTAAAAAGTCCCAGCCCCAGGTGGGTTCTGCTTGGCTATTATCTGAGTCCAAGGGCCACCAGGGGTTCCCCAGAAGATGTCACCTCTTGAGGGGACACAGATCTGGTTCCCATGAGGTCACTGCAGCCACAGGTCCTGGTCCTCATTTGTGGGGTGTCTGTCCTACGAGTGTCCACTGTTCCTATGGGAAATTCCAGTCCCTTGTCATGAAGCTATCATCAGTTCTGTCCTTTCTGGGACCCAAGGTGTTTGCAGAGCGACTGCAGAAACGGCTCAGAGCAAAGACAGATCCAAGATGGCGGCAGGGAGGCCAAGCTGCGCCTGGTTTTAGGTCATTTGTGGGGTGAAGATGGGGTCAGTGCTTGAGCTCGTCTCACATTTCTACCGAATATCAGAGGTGAAATGAATCCCTGACACCGCAACGGGGGGGACCATGGCCCTCTGTGCTCTTCTGTCCCCTGTCTCTCTGTCTGTCTGTCTGTCTGCAGTCAGATTCCACCTGGGAGGTCAGGTTGGTGAGGACCAAGGGGCAAACCCATTTTTCCAGTTTGGGACTGGGTTTTCCCTGTGGGGACAAGTCCTAGTCCTAGATCCAAGATGAGAGAGAGAGAGAGAGAGAGAGAGAGAGAGAGAGAGAGAGAGAGAGTTACTTGAATCCTTTTATGATGACATCAGCGGTTTTAGGCGTTTTTTAGGCCCATTCACCGCGTTTCTGTTGAAACTGCACATTTATCCTTTTCTTTTTGGACCGAGAAATCCCTGAATTTGTTCTTCTCTCCTGTGTTACCGGGAAATTACCTCAGAGCGACGAATTCAAGCTGGGTGCCGGCGCTCACGCCTGTAATCCCAGCTGCTCAGGAGGCAGAGAGCGGGAGGATCGCGGTTCGAGGCCAGGCCTGGGGACGTACTTCACGAGACAAAACAAACAAAAAACAAGTCTTGAGTTCAAGCAAGATGTCAAAAAAAAGTCAGTTTATTACCGTGAGAAATTCACTTCCCTCAGCCGACTCAGAGCCAGCGGTAGTAGAGTGAATGCTAGACGGTCACGACAGCCTTGCAAGATGGGCTGGTTCACCCCAAAATGGCGACAGCAAGCATTTTATCCCTCAGTGTGCAGGGCTGAGTGCTCCGGGGTGTGTAATATTCCCTTATGCCGCCTGCATCGCACCATTTCCTTATAGGATTTTTTTTTGACCCCCCCTCACGCCACGTCCTGTCGGTGGCTTTTCTGGTCTGTCACCTTTGTCCCTTCTGCCGATGACACAGGGGAAAAGTGGGGGGGGGGAAGGGACAGACATTTCCTGCTCCCCATGCAAAGAGCGGGAGTAGAGATTCGAAATGGCCGCCCTGGTGTCTTAGTCTGGCTCCTTGGGAATATTACTAGTCAGAGATAAAGGACCCGCAGTCCCATTCCACCTGGGGCTTTGGTGTGAGGGGAACTAAAATGGCAGAAATACTTGGTTGTAGATCACGGAGACGGAAAGTTTCCGCAAAAGCAAAATATTTAGGGAGACTTAAAAAAAAAACAGTGATGGGGGGGCAGCCAGATGGTCGGATTTAGCAAGAAGGTAATCAGATAGTCAGTCAATTATAGGTGTAGGTTCAGAGTACAGTAGGGAGGATTGCCTGAAGCCAGGTTCCTATTCAATCCCATAAACTGCAGCCATTATTTGCTTAGCTCTTTCCCTAAGTCCCACCGGGTCGGGGTGCTTTGTTATCCTGTCAACAAACCTTGTGCTTGCTCAAACTCTTAACTCCAGGTGCGTGGAGTAGATCTGCTTTGAGTCTTAACTGCTTGTCCGGGTTCAGTCATCGACACAGGACCCGGGATCTGTAGGTTTCCTGGTGTCCACCAGGGTAGTGCAGGGAGCCAGGCTCAGTAACACGAAGGCCGCCATGTTGTTGTTTCCTCTCAGTTCACAGGAACGTCAGTAAAAAGCACAACATTCTGCCTGAAAGATGACTAAGTGAAAGGGGCTGTGGGTCACGTGGTGCACGCCTGCCCAGGCGGAGCAAAGCGCTAAGTTTTAAACCCCGGGACGGCCACTAAAGGAAGTATTAGGGTCACGTAGGGGACCGCGCCACACTAATGGCGGCTGAACTCCTGGCACAGGGCAAGTCTGCCCCACCCTCTTTGACCTCATCCCGTGATGCGCAAAAGGCGCGCCGCCTCACACGTCACAAAGCGCCCAGGGGAGGGACAAAGGCCGGAACCGGAAGTCAGCCGGAGGCTTCTGGGAACTGTAGTTTTTAAGACTTTGCCAGGGACCGGCTGCGTTTTAGGATAGTGGAGTGCAGCGCCGTGGTGGCCGCTGTTCATATGCGGAGATTCCGCGGCTCAGAAGCGAATCGCCCACTGGACTGGGGCAGCGGCAGACTGCAGGCCCGCAAGGCGCCATGAGGGATCTGCGTGTTGTCGTACGTTTTACGTCCGCAGCCGTCTCCGCAGAGGCTTCTGGGGGCCTCGAGTCCCTGGGATTCTGGGTAACGTAGTCCTTTGTTCAACCCTCACCGCAGAGGCTCCTGGGAGCTGCAGAATTCTGGGGAATGTAGTCCAGCACTAGTCAAACTCTTCCGTCTAGGAACGGAAATTTCCTAAAGAGAAAATTTGTTTTTTTAACAGAAAGAAAATTTTTTTGCCATAAGGCGTTATTTTCTGATGAGGCATGACGGTGCAGTTCAGTGGTACAGGCGACCAAGAGGGTCGCGAGTTCGAGACCGGCCTGGGCTGCGTAGTGAGAGCCTGTCTCAAGATACCAGAAAGATGGAGGGGGGGTAGAGATACGGCAGCCCTTGCTTTTCATGCCTGGCATGGCGCATGGCAGAGGGAGGAGGTGGGGGAAACCGAGGCAAGGCCACGGGTCCAGCAGATGATCAGAACTGACACCTTTCGCGCCCTGCCGACGGCTTCTATCACAGCTGCCTTCTCTGCTTGGGGCGGGGGGAGGGGGTGGGGAACAACACGCCCCGCCCACATGCCCCTCGGGCCCCGCCCCTCTGACGTCACCACACGTGGGCCCCTCCCCTTCCATCACCGCCCCGCAGGCTCCTCCCTCTCCGTATGTCACAACCACGTGGGTTCCATCCCGGTGTCCCACAGGCTCCTCCCTCCTCTGACGTCACCACCATGTGGGCTCCGCCCCCACGTCCCATAGTGGAAACGGTAAGAGTAGGAAGTTAATAAAGTGAATATGTGTGATGTTCTATTTTAAGATTGAATATAGAGGAGGGAAGTTAATAAAGTGAATATGTGTGATGTTCTTCTCTTTTAAGATTGAATGTAGAGGAGGGAGTTAAAGTGAGTATGTGTGATGTTCTTCCATTTTAAGATTGAATATAGAGGAGGGAAGTTAATAAAGTGAATATGTGTGATGTTCTTCTATTTTAAGATTGAATGTAGAGGAGGGAGTTAATAAAGTGAGTATGTGTGACGTTCTTCCATTTTAAGATTGAATATAGAGGAGGGAAGTTAATAAAGTGAATATGTGTGATGTTCTTCCATTTTAAGATTGAATGTAGAGGAGGGAAGTTAATAAAGTGAATATGTGTGATGTTCTTCTATTTTAAGATTGAATGTAGAGGAGGGAGTTAATAAAGTGAGTATGTGTGACGTTCTTCCATTTTAAGATTGAATATAGAGGAGGGAAGTTAATAAAGTGAATATGTGTGATGTTCTTCCATTTTAAGATTGAATGTAGAGGAGGGAAGTTAATAAAGTGAATATGTGTGATGTTCTTCTATTTTAAGATTGAATGTAGAGGAGGGAGTTAATAAAGTGAGTATGTGTGATGTTCTTCTATTTTAAGATTGAATGTAGAGGAGGGAGTTAATAAAGTGAATATGTGTGACGTTCTTCCCTTTTAAGATTGAATGTAGAGGGGGAAGTTAATAAAGTGAATATGTGTGACGTTCTTCCCTTTTAAGATTGAATGTAGAGGGGGAGTTAATAAAGTGAATATGTGTGATGTTCTTCTATTTTAAGATTGAATATAGAGGAGGGAGTTAATAAAGTGAGTATGTGTGATGTTCTTCCATTTTAAGATTGAATATAGAGGAGGGAAGTTAATAAAGTGAATATGTGTGATGTTCTTCTATTTTAAGATTGAATGTAGAGGGGGAAGTTAATAAAGTGAGTATGTGTGATGTTCTTCTATTTTAAGATTGAATGTAGAGGAGGGAAGTTAATAAAGTGAATATGTGTGATGTTCTTCTGTTTTAAGATTGAATGTAGAGGAGGGAAGTTAATAAAGTGAATATGTGTGATGTTCTTCTGTTTTAAGATTGAATGTAGAGGAGGGAAGTTAATAAAGTGAATATGTGTGATGTTCTTCTATTTTAAGATTGAATGTAGAGGGGAAGTTAATAAAGTGAATATGTGTGACGTTCTTCCCTTTTAAGATTGAATGTAGAGGAGGGAAGTTAATAAAGTGAATATGTGTGATGTTCTTCTCTTTTAAGATTGAATGTAGAGGGGGAAGTTAATAAAGTGAATATGTGTGATGTTCTTCTGTTTTAAGATTGAATGTAGAGGAGGGAAGTTAATAAAGTGAATATGTGTGATGTTCTTCTGTTTTAAGATTGAATGTAGAGGAGGGAGTTAATAAAGTGAGTATGTGTGATGTTCTTCTATTTTAAGATTGAATGTAGAGGAGGGAAGTTAATAAAGTGAATATGTGTGATGTTCTTCTATTTTCAGATTGAATATAGAGGGGGGAGTTAATAAAGTGAGTATGTGTGATGTTCTTCCATTTTAAGATTGAATGTAGAGGAGGGAAGTTAATAAAGTGAATATGTGTGATGTTCTTCTATTTTAAGATTGAATGTAGAGGAGGGAGTTAATAAAGTGAATATGTGTGACGTTCTTCCCTTTTAAGGTTGAATATAGAGGAGGGAGTTAATAAAGTGAATATGTGTGATGTTCTTCTGTTTTAAGATTGAATGTAGAGGAGGGAAGTTAATAAAGTGAATATGTGTGATGTTCTTCTATTTTAAGATTGAATGTAGAGGGGGAAGTTAATAAAGTGAATATGTGTGACGTTCTTCCCTTTTAAGACTGAATGTAGGATTTTTAAGCCATCGGGGTTTTGGTGGCCCAGTGCAAATTGTTGAACAACCGTCTTAAAGAAACAAACACGCGCTTTGAGTGCGCTCCTTCCTGTGCCCCTTCCCTAATCCCACCTGCAAAGGAGGAGGAAATGAATTTCCAGTCCGGGTTACTTGCCCAGGCTCCAGGCTCCCGAGGAGGCCGATCGTGGCACCTTTCGCTCCTGCGTGGAGCTCCGGCGTGTCGGTCACACAGCCGGTCAACAACCCCCGGGCTCAGCGTCGCCGTGAGGGCTCCGGGGTGCGTTTTATGGCGCCGTGCTCCTCCCCCTGTGGCGTGGGAGGGATTCCAGGACAGGCAGCTGCCCCAGGTGCCGTGACCCCAAGGGGACACGGGAGGGCCAGGCTTCCGACGGCCCCTCCCAGCCAGGTGGCGGACTCAGCACGCAAGGGTTCAAGTTGGCGGCCTCTGCCCGGCGCGGCCTCTGCGGGCAGCTGCCGGGCACATGGGCGCCGCACTCCTGTGCGTCCCTCAGAACCCCAGCGTTCACAACCCTCAGGCCCTGGAGGTGGAGGACGGACGGCGTCCTGTCCGCCCCATCTCTCTGCCTTCGGTCCGTCCGTCTGTCCTCTGTCTTCCCGCGAGCTCGCCTGCACAGCTCAGCCTGTGCCCAGGGTTTGTTGACGATCGCAACAGACCTCGGGAAAGGGAGGAGGCCCGACGCCCCACCCTGGCCAGCGGGTTAAGGGAAGGCGCTGTCCGCACGCGCGGACAGGAACGGGCTTCTGCCCTGGCGGGTACGCGGGTCCCAGTCACAGCAGCAGCGCCCGAAGAGTGGGTGACGCGAGGGCGGTGACACGGGACACCGCGAGGTTTCCGCTTCTGTTCACGGGTGCGAAATATCCCCCGAGGTCCCTCCTCACCTTTCCTCGGTGTCATCCGCCCCTCCACGCTGCATAAATAAAGACAAAACGCTTCGCCGTTCGCCTCATCCCCCTTCCTGGTGTCCCTCCAGCTGCCCTGCTGCCCATCCCCAAGAAAAGACCTGTTTTCCCCTCCTGGCCTTCATTTTATTAATTGTGAGTGAATTGATGAACGTTAATTGAGTGAATATTGAACGAAGTTAATTGAGTGAACATTGATGAACGTGAATTGAGTGAATATTAATGAACATTAATTGAGTGAATATTGATGAACGTGAATTGAGTGAATATTGATGAACGTGAATTGAGTGAATATTGATGAACGTGAATTGAGTGAATATTGATGAACGGTGAGTGAATATTGATGAACGTGAATCGAGTGAATATTGACGAACGTTAATTGAGTGAATATTGATGAACGTTAATTGAGTGAATACTGAACATTAATTGAGTGAATACTGATGAATATTGAGTGAATATTCATGAACATGAATTGAGTGAATATTGATGAACATTCATTGAGTGAATAATGAACATCAATTGAGTGAATATTGATGAACGTTAATTGAGTGAATATTGATGAACGTTAATTGAGTGAATATTGATGAAACGTGAATTGAGTGAATATGACAAACTTTAATTGAGTGAATATTGATGAACGTTAATTGAGTGAATACTGAACATTAATTGAGTGAATACTGATGAATATTAATTGAGTGAATATTCATGAACGTGAATCGAGTGAATATTGATGAACATTAATTGAGTGAATAAGGAACATCAATTGAGTGAATATTGATGAACGTTGAGTGAATATTAATGAACATTAATTGAGTGAATATTGATGAACGTTGAGTGAATATTAATGAACATTAATTGAGTGAATATTGATGAATATTGAGTGAATATTGATGAACATGAATTGAGTGAATGAACATGCATTGAGTGAATAATGAACATCAATTGAGTGATATTGATGAATGTGAATTGAGTGAATATTGATGAACGTTAATTGAGTGAATATTAATGAACATTAATTGAGTGAATAATAAACATTAATTGAG